TCACTGCAACAAACAGGCACAATCTGGTGTCAGTTTGGCCCACAAATATAGTAGAGGCATCTGACCGACAGAAGAGTACGAGAATGCAAATACATACAAATAAAATGCTTATGAAATCCACGCATCTCTATTTTAACATATTTATGCAATGACACAGTGGTACTTTTGCTGCGCAATGACTTTGCCAAATAATTAGCTAGAAGTTGACAGCGCTATACTTTCGTAATAGCGGCTCCACTCATCTGCCGTCGATGCAAGTTTGCGGTAGAACGTTATAATTGTCTGAAAGCCCGACGACTGGTTGCAAGGATTGTGAGGTTGCTTATCCCTTCAGAGAGAGAAATATCTTTCGGTATACCTGCAGTGGTCTCATTCATTAGTCGCAGACAGTTGAGGCCCGCGATCTGAGCTGCATCCATGACAGACCTCCTATCTGAGTCAGTGAAATAGCTTGGGACCTTGGGAGGGGACAAAACAATGCAGGTGAGGGATTTGACTCATACAATTTCTAATAAAAAGACTGGAAGGCATTGATAACACAACAAAGATGTTGACAAGTTAAAACATATCCCTTAGTTCTTCTCATTGAACATCAGTGACGCATGAATTGCCTGCATCGCAGGACGTCTGGACAACGCTGCCATGTTAGTTACTCCGGGAGTCAAAACAAAACTTCTCCTTGAGGAAAAAGGTCTAATTTTAGCAACTGGCCTCAGTAATAATAACACCACCTTATCCACCTCTTCGGCTGATGCAAACATTAGATTTAGTACCGGTGAAGCTAACCGCCTCCCCGTGTGAGATCTGTATCACTACGCAACAGGTGCCGTTGCTTTAACACGAGACATCTGGTGAAGTGCTGGAAACTCTAAAGACCACACGAACAGGTGCTAATACATTCATACACCTTGGAGACAGCTGTCATCGTATAAAGTCCGTAAGTAATCACAAGTTGTGTAAAAAAAAAAAAATCGTCATATTAAATAAGCAACGTGACGCGATCCAACTAGTACTTTACCTCCTGCTAAGACATTTAAAGCCAATGAGATGTGACGCGTTGCCACAACAAGCCAAAGAACCTCCAGTAGGACGCGGAGAGGCAGTAATGAGCAGTACTGATGAGTTCCAGAGGTGTCATAGATTCTCAGAGCCCCTGCATGAGCTGCAAAACTGCTGTGCAAATGCTTACCGAGATGACACAGTCTGCCACTGGTTTCTTTAGTGCGCTTTCAGCAGTCTCCTTTAGTTTGCTCAGCAGCATGCCTGTGACCTGCTCGATGCTGAACACTCTCTCCTCCTCCATGTACATGACCTAGAGTTGAGGAACATTTGACAGTTGAATAACCTTGATTAAAGGTTAGAAAGCTATAAATAACCCATAATGCATCTTAATAGATTGAAAGCGCATAAAAACGGGCCACAGAAAGACCATCCAAACTTACGATTGTCTATGATGTGATTGAATCTGGAAACTCTTAATAGAAAGGATGGATCTATGATGTGTTATTTGTCAGAATAAATATGTATGCAATCAGCTAATTGAAAAGTTCAGAGATCCAGTACAATGATAATTTCTTACCACAGAATATGTTTACAGGAGTTGAAATAGCTAACAGTTTATGACGGGTTGAGGAAACTAGTTTTAGTAGAAGAACATAAAGAAATGGATTGACAGGGAAAGATAACAGAAGAACTTTGATCAAGAGGAAAGAATAGTATGCAAGGCACTTTTTGGGAAAACGCTGGGTAGGAAATGGGCGAGCAATAACGTCAGGAATAAGCTGTTGTGCTTTTTATCCTCTCTGTCCGTTACTTTTGTTGGAAGCAACTGCATCTTTTCTCTCCAGCTAGTTGTGGCTACCTATATTATCTTGAATATAGCAGCGGCTGCGGGATATTCTTCATCTTACTTTTATACCGGTGGCTCCAGATGGCATCTCGGCCAGGTCGTACACCAAGTTGGACTTGGCTGACTGGACATAAGGGTCTGAAAACGCTCTGCTGTGAAATCGCTTGAAGGCCTGCACCGTGTTCCGACAGTTGGTCACCACCTGGGCATGACAAAAATTAATTAAAAAGGTTGCCAGCCTCCATTTTTTCTGGGTTTGATTACAAGAATCTTCAAAGATTCTCGATGGGCGACTAGACTGATCTTACCTGGCTCTTCGCAGCTGCTCCTATAGACCGATTTCGTGGTCCAAAGGATATGACTGAGCTGGAGGACAACAATCAAAAATGTTACGCTAAGACATACGGCGAGCAGTTCGTATCGTCCGCCAATTTGTGAATACATCCTCAAGACAGATTTACTTGCCAGTTAAGCCATGTCATGTATTGGCATGGCTTAACTGGCAAGTCATTTCTAAACACTAGCTACAGAAAAAGGGACAGCGTGGTCTGCCCATGAGATTTCAACATGCCCGTCGTCCTCACCCCTATTGAACTCAGAGCTACATTCGCTGTAAACAATCAGAGGAATGTGGCTCATCAGGTAGCGGACCACGTCCTAATGCCAGATCAGAGTGGTAAGAATTACCATGCTGTGTTATTTGCTCATTGCAATTGATGTAATGGATTGAAGTCAGGGAAGTAAGAACATTTTGATTAAAAAATAAATAATTAAAAAACAAAAATGGAATGAAAATAGAAAACAATTATGTCACTTGCTTGATTAACAAAATTAATTATTACAAAACGTATGTCTTGCATATTGTATTTAAACAATTGCACAAAAACCTAATTTCATAAAGAATTCAGAAGAAACAGGTCCTGGTTGTTTTTTGCACACACAAATAGTTGATCCCTTAATGAAATTATATTATCTCTCTTGGCATTGACAAATTCAACTCATTGCCTCAGTAATAACTAGTTTCTTACAGTCGGTTCATTGAGTCACTAAAAACATTAGTTGACGCTTCCAATTCATAACGAGTTAAAAAAAACTGCTGTAAATACATCCACATTCAGATCTATCATCATACTAAATATATGAGATAATACATACAGGATACAGTCTAGGAAATGTTGTTATAGCAGTCATATTCGTTAACATATTTACATAGTGAAATGACGCTGAACGACCACTTGAAATGCAATATTATCTTGTATAGACATTTGCCATCGTGGGTACAAAGTGTCCGCAAAATGAGCTGCACTTAAACAAAAAACAAACACGCGTTTCTCTTTGAAGACGCATCATAAACTACACGTATCTTCAGCGCCAACAACTTGCTAGAAGATTCCAACAAGCCGCTGGATGCTATGGTAACCGACGAGAACGTAACGGACGGCGCTCGCTTCCCCACACGGCGCACGCCGGTTGGTCGGGAGCTTTAAAGCATCGAGGCATGACCAACCACGACCGCAATTAGAACGGGTGGGAACACCGCGCGCCCGTGTTCTCCGGGCAACGAGAGCCCGTTTTCCAACAAGGCAGTAACAAAAAAACGTTACGGTGAGCTCGGCTAGCCGACGTTAGCCGCTAACTCGCGGAGGCGCCATGGCGGATGGGAGGATGAGCACTAAGGATTAGTCCGCGTTCATTCGACACCGTTACATGTCCAAAACATTGACACATGCTTAGCTAAGTTAACATTCACACTGAAAGGATATTTTAGTCGAACAAATACGCGGTAGCTAATAAGCAACGTTCAAGCGGGATTCGCGTGTTACGTCAACTTTGCCATACCATCGGTGAGACACAACCGTTGAGACAAAGACATGTTTTCTTAAGATATCCACTCATAAATCCACACATCACAGCCATATTTAGGTACTTACGGCGTGCATCTGTCGCTGTATTCATTGGCGACTGTCTCAATCCCTCCGGCTCGGGCTACAGCTACATAGCAGCTTTGAAAGCCCAAGTCGAATCCCACCACTGACATCTTCAGCGATAGGGCTGTATTCTAGCTATAACGTTATCTAAAGTCGGACAAACACTAATAGAAAGCAATGGTGCCGCTTTAAATGGATGAGGAAGCAAGATGAAGTGGCGTGTTTCTCTGTGTTAAGTATATCAACTTCAAGTCATAATCCAGACGGCTGACAATTACCGGCGTGTCCGCAGCATAGACATATATACAGTACAACGGCAAGGTGGCTGAACTAACGTCTCGAACGGGAGTTATCGCGAGATTTGCGTTGTTCTAGATATATCTAGACGTTTCCATAACCATGTGAGCCACTGTTCTCTAATATTCAAGATTTAGCTGGAAATAAACGAGTACTGCGTTGTTGACACAGATAACCAAATGCTCAACCTCAGAAACGGTATATAGCTCAATATATGAAGATATGGACGTACAAATAAACATAAAAGACTATTGTTTTAGTATAATCATTTTACATTACTGGGACTTTATACGTTTTTGTCTTTTATCTATTTTAAGTAAATATTAGAAACCATATGGAAATTCACCACTATTCAGACTATAGAAATTGACATAATTAAAAATGTTCCCTGAATCCTAGTTAGATTTACATTATTATATATATTATTTTTATATAATTTATTTTCTAATCAGTGCGTAGTGCTATTTGATATACATATATTATTACATACATTATATGATATAAATATGAAAAGAGTGTTATATATTTTCAATGCAATGTAAATTATTTTTTACGGCAATGGTGTATCTTTTGAGCATACAGTGGAGCCTCTCAATATCTCCGGAAGTTAACAATCAACACCATCACCTCTTAAACGGAGTGAGAAAAGCTTTTGAAATGGGACAGAACGTGTCTGTGATCTCGAGCTCCTTCACAATGTCATAACATGTCAGGTACTATGGTGGGTGTATATCTATACTTGTTAATCCCTAATTACAAACTCTTTCAGGCTCTTGATTTACAAGCTTCTTCAACAAAAATAAATGTCGGATGATTTAATCTGTGTAATAGACTCTGTTTTCATGTGTTTTTGTTCACTGTGTTTAATCTTTTTACCCGTTTCCACTGGTAACCCTGTGTTTAATATCACACCGGTTGTGGGTTATTCCAATACCAAGCCTGCGTGGGGTTGTTCCTTTTCTCCTCTGTCTCTTTCTCTGTTTCAGCACTAGAAACACAGGAGCATCCAAAAGAGGCAGCCACCTCACCCTGGGCCTGCACTCTGGTTTTGCAAGTCTTCAAACCCAGTTGGCATCATCCCCAACTGACCATATCCCAACAAAAACAAAGGGGGCGACATCATCTTGCTGGCGGGAAAACAGACCTCCGACGTAACACCGGAAGTTCTCATACCATCGAAGAAGAAAAAGTAAACTGCAACATGGCGACTCCTATGCACAGGATAATAGCCAGGAGGCAAGCGTGAGTATTCTGTTTTTTAAACCGGTCACGATCCATCGTTTTCATCGTCGTGTGAGCGTTCTCGTCCTTTAAAGACGGAATTGCATTAAACTCGCCGAGCTTTGTGTCGGATAAAGGAGGGAAGGACGAAGCCTGCAGGGCTTGATGGAGCACAAATGCGCCACGGTTTTTCTGACCGACACTTCGTTTTTTTCCACACTATTTGAATGTTTTCTGTGATCTTTTCTTTGGGGAGGGTGTGTGGGGGCTTTAAAATCGTAACTCGTATGTTTTAATAAACAAATAACCTGCAAGCGCTCAGTTTATTCGGCATGTAGTGTGCGATTAGTCAAGAGGCGAGCTGTACAATATCGGGCTGTTTTTGAATCACGACTTTCTCCCTCAACAAAATATATTTCTAATGTTCTTAATTTATATTAATGTCAAGTTAAGCTTTATTTAATCAGGTACTCACATTTAGCTCTGGATCTATTTTAATGGAGATCGATGAGTACAGTAAATTCAATAGAAACATGGATACGACCCACAACAAAACACAGATGCACATACAAACATCTGTAAAACCTAAAACTTCACTTTTTAACATTTCGATGAATCACTCCCAGCAGATGGAAAATAACCCGACAAGTTTTTGGAAGTCGGGGTGGTGAATTGGATTCATACAAAATTTCCATTTGCAACTTTCCATTTTTTTTACCCCTTTGTTTCGGGACCCTGCATCATGACCGCAATGGTTTAAAGGGAGGTTTTAGCTACTCAAACCTTCCAATGGGATGAAAGATCAGACATTAGTCTTATACAACATGGTTTTGGAATTTGAAAAACAAGAGAAAAATGCATGTGTATACCCCATCAAATGTGACGCACACTATAGAATGTTTATTGTTTAAGAAACATTAGCACGCATCTTGCTGCAAACACACATCACGAAAGAGAAACGTCAGCATCTGTCCTCATTGTGATGTCTTCTTTTAATTGCATGCAGAGAGGCAAACAAACAAAATGTGCGTTGCCAGAAGTGTCTGGAGATGGGACACTGGACCTACGAGTGCACGGGCAAGCGGAAATACGTGCATAGACCATCGAGGACAGTTGAGATGAAAAAGAAAATGAAGGAGAATGAAAACAAACCCCTGAGCATTACTGGGTAAGGCCTCTTCAGAAGTTCACAGGTCAAGCTGATTCTGTTTGAGCTACTAACGCTGGGACTGAATAACTCGGATGGTCACTTTTGAGGAAGCTAAAAGCCTCTCGTTCACTTCAGGCGGACGAGCAGTTAAAATGGTTTTCTTGGTCGACATAGTCGGTCAGAAACAGCGAGACTCTCAAATGAATATACAGCGCTTGTCCTGTCATCCAACCACTCAAAGCGCTTTTACACTACTTGTCATTATTCACACATTCACCCACTGATGGCAGTGGCTCCCGCACACCGTGCCAGTCTGCCCTTCAGTAACTAACATTCATACACCGCAGTCACAGCTACAGCAAATGAATGTTAGTGGATCCGGGGTTCAATCCGCCGGTTAAAGGTTGATTGTACATTATAATTCAATGTATTGATCACAGAGATTAGCCAAATTTTACCCAAACGGAATAAACCACTTTCTGAAGCAGGAGTGATGTTCCGCTATAATTTACCCGTCTCTAATTTAAGGTGAATCTGGACAAACACTGACCCAACAGAAGCGCGGTATATTGGTTTTTATTGCCATCTGGAGGACATAATGATAAATAGCCTTGAGTTACTGGCTTGGAATATTCCCTAAAGGTCCTACAACACATCGTCATACCTTATCACTTGTAATTACTAAGCCAATTCAAGCTCAACTAATTGACAAATTATTAATAATGTGGTGTCTCTAAGGAGTTTTAATTTATCTTTACAGACCTGGCAATGAAGGCTCCAGTGAGAAGAAAATTAAAAAGAAGTAAGTACATTTTTAAATGTTTTGTTTTCACCTTTTTACCAAATTAGTGTTTTGCCATAAATTAATATTCTTTTTATTTTTCTAAGTCTTACCAATCTTGACATTGTAGTAAACCACTACATATAATAACATAATATAATATAAATAAAACATAGATTTACATATCTGTATTACTGAGTAATAAAAGAACAAATTGAAAAGAATAAATACAAATGGTTTCTTCATGAAATGATGTCAATCATGTGAGAGTTGTAGTCTCGTGAATTTAAGCTTGACTTGGTGCGGGATTTATCCTCGGATGGGGTGTTCAGGTGCACTTTATGAAAGGTAGATGACCTTTGCGACGTTGCTCTTCCACTCTGGATTCAAAGTCCAAACTGGAAACGTCTGTGTGAACATTGTTTACTCTACAGCTCCCTCTGCTGGACACTCCTCATGACCAGCTGTAAAACAGTTCAGCTCTTCTCCAATGCAGTACTTTTACACAGCAGATATTTGAGCCCTGGCAGAGAAAGCACAGGTGTAACTAATATTGCTATTATATTGTTATTGCCTCCAGGATATCGCGGTGTTATGCAGCAATTCATGTTATTAGCTTCACCTGTGTTTTCCAAATCAAAGGTTCTGTTCAACTTGACCTCCTCCCACCAGCCCCTGAACACTTGACTTGCATCACCGCTGGTTGAGCGTTGGCTTGTGGCCATCGACCAAACCGGTATTACAGTGTATAGTTAAGCAGCGGACTTCGGTAACTCTGCAGACAGTTTGGCTCCGTGGCAAATGACGGCGTCATCTCGGGTGTAATTACTTTGTTTGTTTTGGAGTGGCAGGCCATGATTCCCTTGGTTGGTAGGAGGGGCAGATGCAATCAGTCAGGAGATCTCAGAGGTTGTGAATCAAGGGGAACTCAAGTGAGAGACTTAACATCAATGAGCATTTAGCAGCAAAGGTGTGCCCCCACGACCCCCTTCATGAAAGACAAAAAAAAACCCACAGAGGAAGCCTTGATGGGGGTGACTAAGTATTGCTTTACCTTTTAGGCGTGACGACACTGATTATTTCAACACCCAAAGAGGAAAACAAAGGTTGCCAGTGCAGGTTTTGCTCCCAGTTTGCCATCAGTTTTCTCAGTTGAAGAAGAGATGGTAGACAAAATGTGATTTCACTTTGAAAGTAGGTAAACCGAGCCGGTCAGTGTTGTTTAAGAAAAGTGAACAAAAATAAGGTAGGTCTTATAGTTTTGTTTTCCTTCTCTGTTGCAAACTGAAACATCTGCAGGAGTGTACCAAGTACCGAGTGAGACCTTAATGGCAAAACTCGGCGTTCTTGCCTCCGTAGTGCATCTCAACGCTCTATCATTTGCTCTCAGGGCAAAAGACGGGAGCGACAGCAGCAGTGACTCAGACGGCTCGTCAAGTGACTCATCGTCCGACAGCAGCGACTCCTCCAGCTCCTCTTCGGATGACAGCGACAGCAGCAGCAGCGACGATGACGACAGCTCCTCCTCGTCCTCCTCCTCCTCCTCTTCATCATCGGCCAGCTCCGACTCGGGGAGCAGTAGTGGTTCAGATCAAGGACCTCCTAAGAAGAAGAAAAAGAAGAAATGAATAAATATGTTGGATGAAGTGGGTTTTCTGGTTGTTTGTATATCCATAAATAGATTTTAGTTGTGCACTGTTTTTTCTAGCAAAGGTTGAAAATACCAGATTAATTTGGTTGGCCAATAAGTCATGTTATGCTTTAAAAATAAACAAAAGAACACGTTAATGTGATTTTTCTCACATGTTTAAGTCCACTAAGGATAGGAATTTGAAATATTTGAAGAAACTAATGTGCTTATTCATGTTGAATTTGTGATTTTGTATTAAAGAATATTTTTAGTCAGACGTCCATAAACCTCAAAGCTGTTATTTAATAGACCATTGAGTGCTAGCAGTAAAGGTTTTACATTGGTTTGAAAATTTGAGGGTGTGTTTGCTATGAAATTAAAGTTGTTTGTTTCACTTTAAAATAAACTTGTTATTAAGGCACTTTTAGTTGGCCATCAAGTTTTTTATTTTGCTAAAGAGACTCTTTTTACTTTACAAAATGCATTTAAGAATAAAGTTATGCAAAGTTGACCAACTTACAAAACTGATTTTTAAAACTAATCTGCATCATATTTTGGTAGACATGCCCTGGTTAACAAAAAATAATGAAAATTTTAAAATGCGATCATGACTTCAATATTGTGCCTCTCAAACTACTGGCCCCTGGATGATAATGATGAATTTGTATGTGGCAGACCACATAAAAAGTACATAGTGTTATGTACTTATCCAAATGTTTCTGATATATGAGCTTGACAAGCTCTTAAAGTGGCTTTTAAAGACATTTACATTGGACTGAAATTGCGAGAAACTGTATTTCTTAATGGGGTTGATCAACTAAACTTTTCGGGGAATAGTTTGTTGGTACCTTCTATTAAATAAGTGTAATCACAAATATCCAACACAGACTAATTCATCCGATTATGAATTAGTTTAGGAACATTAAAGCACGTACAGCTGAAGTTGATGGCATATGAAAAGCATCACATTTACATTTAGTAGTCCAGTTGTGAAATTAAAAACAGATAAAGAACAATGAAAAATCCCCCTCACTTTACGTCTTAACCGTCAGGTCTGCTACAGTGTTTGTGCGTCACATAAATGTTGCATTCAATGAATTCGAAAATGTCAGAATCATCGCCAACTAAGACATTACAGTGAAACTGCATAGTTCACATACATACTTTTACATGTGACTATAACTTGTTTATCGGCGATTTTGAAATTAGCTGACTGTGTGCTATTCTCAAATCAATAATTTCTCCAAGATGCAATAAAATAAAATCTTATGTTTCCTTGGTCGTGTGGCTAGCCTCAGATATTTCCCACGGCAAGTGAAGGGAGCACTGCTTGCTGCCATCCATGCATCTAGTCCTGTCTGTGGTACCTGCTGGCTACTTAACTTAGCCACCTTACCTATCAGTCACTTATGTTGACGAATAATAACATGAACGACAGGCAAAATGAATTTATTTAGTTTTCTACTCGATGGGCAGTTGCGTTTAAAGGGAGAGATGGATACCATCCATTCGGTTTTAGTGTTTTAGCTGTTATAGGGTTTTGCTGAGTCCATTTTGCGTCTAACTGGAAGTGGAAAAGACAAAGAGAAAAGAGCTTTCCAATAGCTAGAATGGTTTGGGCCTAAAAAGAAGACAAGAGGTAAGGATGTCGAATATTTCAGAATACCTCATTTGCTTACTAACCACACACAATGGTTATCTGTCGTTTTGAGAGAATGTTAATTTAAATTTCCCCAGGAAATTTCAATGGTTTCGTAGCTAGCTAGCCGCTAGCCTAGCATTAAAACGCTAACAGTATGCTAAAGAAAATATGCAGGTAACGTTAGCGAACTACGGCAGTCTTGTAGGTAGCGTGTTAGCTTCTTGCTAAACGGACAGACATTGCCGCTACTTTGGAGTCCTCATAACGGCAAACGTTAACCGTTAAAATGATAATATCGCTAAATGTTACTTTAATGCGCCCGGTGGCTTCCCGACCCCGAAAAGTAAGCGATTGTGGTGATTGTGTTTTTGTTCATCTGATGTTGGCTAACGGGTCATGACGTCTGTTTGTTTTTTTTTGTTTATTTTTTTACTGGTAAGCCACCGGTGACACACCACGTTCCGCCAAGTATTCATCTTGCTTGACATCGCTGCGGATATAATCGCTTGATATTTGTCATTTGTTGACTGTTAAGCGGTAAACGGAAACTGCTCGCAGTTCGTCCACCGTGCCTAAATAACTGTTCTCCACTTAAGCTTCGTGGATTTAATTGCAGATAAACTCTTTTTTTTTTCTTTTTAGCTTCACGATTCACATTCATGCGACTATCATCGCGCTTGCTTGCAGTTTCTCTGCCCCTGAACGGGACAGTGTAACTAATCCTAGGCCCAAAACAATCGTCGGTTTTCTCACTGACTAGCGAAAACTTTTTGGGGGTTTGTTGTCCTGTGGCCTCCGCGCATTGATGCTGCGTTCATTACGGCAGGTTGCTCTCGGTGACAGTCGTCGCTGTGGTGAAGTCAAAACGGCAATGACTCAATATTCCTGTTGAGTTGGAAAGGCGACATAATAGCTGAAGTGTCAAGCTTTGGTCTTGCAAAAGGACAGCTGATAATGCTTCTTTTTTTCTTTTCTTCCTGGAAGCCATTTTACGTGCCTCAGTTGGGGGGAGGGCCAGAAAGTGCATCATAAATCCACAGTTGAGTAACAATTAGCCGCCACACCAGATATCTGTTTTTGGAGAGGTGTTTTTGGCAAATGGGGTAACTTCCCTAGCAATCAACTTGTTCATCTTGGTGGTGGGGGGGGGAGGCCTCTGGTCATGAACTCATTCATGGCAGGTAGCTGTGAGCTTGCTCAACATCCGCACTGACGGGGTGGTCAATTGCGGTTCCACTTTCCGTGGAAGTGTTATTGTGTGAGAATGTTTTATTTGAGCAGCTTTCATATAATCTAGCCTTGTATTTAGCAGTAAAAAGAGATATTTGAAGTGTGTGATGGGATGGAAAAATTTAAGAAAAGTTTGACTGATATTGCGATTGAAGCTGTTTTGGAGATTAATCCGTTTATGCTTTAATGTTAAAGGAGATAGTTTAGATAAGTCATGTTCCACCAAAGAAATGGCTCACCACCCTTTTTTTTTGGCTGTGTTGTTTTTATTTAGGCTAAGCACAGAGGTATCTAGAGAAATCTTCAGCAGATGTTTTAGGGATTTGCCGACCCTAACCTTAACCTTAGTTATTCCTAATACCAGCACTGTTGTGGGAATGTTCTTTTTTTTTTTTTTTTCTTTAAAAAAAAGCATTAAATGTGGTCTGTGCATCATGGCGGGTAAGTGGATAACGATTTATTTTCTGCCCTTTTGCTCCCTGTGATGCAGCTCTGTGAAATCCTCTTCACTTCCTGCTCGGGTTTTGGCTCTGTGGCTTCAGTATAACTGTTTCCTCTGTAGCCCGGCAAGGGCAGATCACACTCGTGTCCTGCCGAGATGTTATGGTGACTTGTTTGGCCATTCCAGACGGAGGAGTGGATGCCTGCTTGTTTGGCTTTGACACATCTATTGTACATTGCGGCAGTAGGGCAGTGTGGTTTTCCAGTCTGGTATTTTGGAAAATGAGGAACACCTAGTTCCAGACTGTTGGACAACAGTAACTAATTGTACAGGATTTTCTGGCTGCCTTCTCAAAACTGAGTAGTCCTTGTCTGAATAAACCACATGCTTTACAATTCTTATCATCTCTTTGATGACTAATGTATTCATCACGTTAAGTCAAAGGGGGTTTGTTGAAGTAATTTGCTTCGTTTATTGTACAGAAGCCGTTCTTTTTGTGAACCCCACCAAAAGTAGGAGCAAGTTGTGTCTTCAGCTGTCCTTGTGAGTTTATTATCAAATCTCTTTTAAACAGAAGCTTGTGGAAAGGTTATTTGAATGCTTTTCCACAGTATGGTAGTTTAATAAGCCCAAATCTAATCAGGCATCAGCAGCTCGTTCTTTATCCCTCCGTGCTGTTGCTCACACAGCAGAAAAATGTGCTACTCACTGTGTCCTGACCTCATGCATCTGTTCTTCAGCTTTTGTTCTCTAGGATGCCAGTTAGGCTCTCATGTGGCCGGCTATATAGTCCAGTGGAGGTGAAGCTCATCAAGGACATTTCATTTCACTTCACACATCCAGCCTACATGTAGATACTGCGCTATAATATATAGAATCACTTTTAACAATAATACTTCTAAAAAAAGGATATCACAATATTTCTTTTCACAGCAGGGTAACTGCTTTACGGGCAATAACAAGTGGATCACTATCATGAGCAGTAAAACTAAGTTTGTATGATGAATCCAGAAAGTTAAAATAAGAAGTAAAGCAAGAATAGATTTATTTAATACAAAGGCGAATCAAATTTGTAGGAAGCGAATCTATAGAAACAATATTGCTAAACTAATCCTCTGTAACTTGAACAGAAAAACGTATGTACAATTTATGAATCGTGTAAATCTACCGGTCACTCCAATCTCATTCGAGCACAACGCGTATTAAAACACATGTTCCGCTAAGCGTGACGGTTTATTTCGAGGTTCGGAGTAGTAAGCTCGAGGTTGGCATGTTTCTATTTGTAGGCAGGCAGATATCCCAGCGTCAAATTTAGCCCAGACTGCTCTGAGGAATACGATTATTACTGATATGTGGGACGCTACGCAGCACAGAGTCCCCTATGACTCTGCTATGGGGACGTTTCCTGCTGTGCCTCGTTATAAATAGAAAAGACTGCATGTTCACTTACATGCAGTCATGTACTTCGAGCTTTCGGCCCAGGTTTGTGGTGAGTATTGGATCTTAAAGGGAGGGGGGGAGTCATGTAGGTTACCATTAAAGGTTCAGGCTAAAAGAGGACCTGACATAACAAAGTTTAGTGTTGATCTGTTTGACCAATGCAGGGTGGACTTCACATGCCTAGTGCTTCTTGCATTACATTCATGAGCAATAGTAAGTGAATTGGAACTATATGCAACACATACATATGAAAGCTTTATTTGTACAGTTGATTCAAACCCTTTTGCAATATAATCAATGTTGAACAAGAAATTGCATTATTATATTATGGCTTTATCAGAGCTATTGCACACGGCACAAATGCATGTGATTTTATTGTGTATTTCTTTAAGTAATGTCTTTTTTAAGAGTTCAGTGCAGTTCTTTTTCTCTGTGTTGGCAAGGTTAGGCTAATTGTACTCATCAAACCAGTATGAAAGCGTTTTCGATTGATGGCGCCATCCAAGATTATGACGCGTTGTTTATTGTAAACGTGTCGGACATGCTGGAACATGGCGAGTTCAGACAGTCGTTGCATAACGGTGTGTTTAGTCAGTGTTGCTTCAAAGACAGGGGAGTGGTGTGGTAGTTGTTGGGAATTCTTACTATAGTTTCGAAATCGGTGACGAGGTTCATGAGACAAACGTAAACCGTCTTCACTGTCTCAGTGTGAACATTCAAAGAGCTGGAATGACGCAGGTTCTTTTTAATATGCACCCACGATGACGTGAGGGTTGTGTGTCGCGTTTCATAAATATTGTGCTTGGGGCGGAGAAAAAGTAGGCCAAGCGTTGTGTTGCTACCTGTGTTGCTACCTGTGTCCCACTGAGCTTGTCTGTCTTTATTTTTCAACTCCAATCCATACGACCCTTCGGCAGCTCTGCTTCATTTGCTATTCCCTTAACCACGGATTATCCCGCTGTTTAGGATGGGTCGCAAGGCAAGACGAGAGCAATGCAGTGACGGAAAATAAATGAGCATGAATGGGGGGAAAAACAGTGTAACATCCCATCGCACCTAAGCTAGTAAATACTACGTGTCAGCCTAAACATTCAGGAAAGTTGCTGATGTACTTTTGTTTTTCCTTCTCTGCTTGATTTCATGATCACTAACCTCGAGGTGTATTATTATCTTGTCCTCTGTGTGTTGTGATCATTGTTAATAATAGTCCTCCGTGATGAGCATTCGCTGGATGTTAAATATAACAATGCTCCGAAATGAATCTCCTGTTAATTATTTGTGAGAAATGCAGAACAGTCCCAGCACTGGGCTCTCATTGGTTAACACCGCCGGCTCCCTCTGATTCCCATCATGCACCGCTGAGCGGAGGCATTCCAACCAAACGCTTCAAACCTGCCTGGATGAAAGGAGCCAAGCGGTTGTTTAGAGAACACGCCAGTCAAGACTCTGAGTCTTGTTTTGATATGTCCATTAACAGCTAATCGTTTTTATTATTTTATTAAACTGAAGCAGGAGCTAAAGCGTTGCGAATAATTGATCCTAACGTCAACATCATCTTCCTCAAACATCATCAGCTCAATACTTTTTAACATAACATAACGTGGTCTTGACGTCACTGGTCCCCAAACAGCTGCTTACGTGAGGCAGGTTTGCAGCTTTTTGAGCGGACACTCCCTCCGGAATGCGTGCTGTCAGCAGGTTGGCTTGAAAAGCATCACAGGAGGGGGCCACCGAATACCCGCCTGCACCAAGAACTCGTTGTTGATGTATATTAAAATACCCTTCTGTAAACACCATTTGGATGACATCAGGAGACTAAAGGACAGGCAAACGGGGTGGAGAGGGCGGTCCAAAACACTTGAGTATTAAAAAAAAAAGAAAAAAA